CCCCCTCGGTAACCCCATAAACCCACACCCCGTAACCTCACACCCCACATACTCACCCCAGAACCCCATAAACCTACAACCACACCCCATAGCCCGGCCCTATAACCCGAAACCCCGTAACCCCACACCCCGTATCCACACCCTATAATCCCACGACCCCATATCCGCACCTCATAGCCTGATCCCATAACCCACAACCCTGTTACCCCATAACCCCATGACATCCCATAATAACTCCATAACACATCCCATAATAACCCCATGACATCCCATAATAACCCCATGTAACACATCCCATAATAACCCCACGTGACATCCCATAATAACCCCACGTGACACATCCCATAATAACCCCATATAACACATCCAATAGCAACCCCACGTGACACCCCTTAATACCCCACGTGACACCCCATAGTACCCCACGTGATATCCCACAATGCCCCACGACATCCCACAATGCCCCGCTCTCTCCCCAGCTCTCTGTTTCCGTTTCCTGTCCCGGCGGCCGCACGCTGACGCTGCCGACCATCACCGCCAATGGCTGCCGCTGCGACCAGTGCCGCGGGGCGCGGCTGTGAATGCCCGATGGGGCCGAATATAGGGCCGATTGTAGGGCCGAATATGGGGTTGTGAGCCTCCCTGTGGGGCCGAATGTGGGGCCAAATATAGGGCCAAATATGGGGCTGTGAGCCACTCCATAGGGCTGAATATGGGGCCGAAAATGGGGCTGTGAGCCACTCTATAGGGCTGAATATGGGGCCGAATATGGGGCTGTGAGCTGCCTTATGGGGCCAATTATAGGGCTGATTATAGGGCTGAATATGGGGCTGTGAGCCTCCCTATGGGGCCAAATATGGGGCCGAATATGGGGCTGTGAGCTGCCCTATGGGACCAATTATAGGGCCGATTATAGGGCTGAATATGGGGCTGTGAGTTGCCTTATGGGGCCAAATATAGGGCCGATTATAGGGCCGAATATGGCACTGTGAGCCACTCTATGGGGCTGAAAATGGGGCTGTGAGCCTGCCTATGGGGCCAAATATGGGGCTGAATATGGGGCCAAATATGGGGCTGTGAGCTGCCTTATGGGGCCAAATATGGGGTCAGTTATACGGCCAAATATAGGGCTGTGAGCCTCCCTATAGGGCCGATTATAGGGCTGAATGACCCACATTGCTATGGGGCCACATGTGGGGTCATGTGACCCACAGCTATGGGGTTCCCTATGGGGCTGAGTGACCCACATCACTATGGGGCCAAGTATGGGGCTGTGAGCCGCCGCTATGGGGCACCCTATGGGGCCATGTGACCCACAGCCCTATGGGGCGCCCTATGGGGCCGAATATAGGGTCAAATATGGGGCTGTAAGCCGCCCTATGGGGCCGAATGACCCACATTGCTATGGGGCCAAACGCGGGGTCACGTGACCCACGGCTATGGGGCTGAGCGGTGACATTAAACGGAGAGCGGCCGCTGTGGGGCTGATGGTGGTTTGTGGGGTATTATTATGGGATGTGGGGTGTTATTATGGGATGTGGGATATTGGGCTGTTGCCTATTACGGGATGCGGGCTGTGGCCTATTATGGGATGCCGGTGCCGCCCGCGCTCCTGACAGCGCCGCGCAGCCATATATGGGCATTGACATCACTCGTAACCATATATGGGCAATGACGTCACTAGGGGAAACCTCGGGGTCTCCCTTTTTCCGCCGGGCTGCATGTCACGTGATAGCGGCACCAGGCCACGTGACGGGGGGGAGGTGCAACGCGGCGCCAGAACCACGTGACGAGAGGAACGCTCCGCGAACCGGAAACCACGTGACGCGGGGAGACCTAACTCCGAACCGGAAATCATGTGACCGAGGACCGCCGGAAGTAGGGATGTCCAAAGCAGCGCGGGCTGTGCGCTCCATCCGCGGAGGCCCCGGCGGCGGTTCTGCTCCCGCCCCATCTACCAGACCTCTGCGGCTGCTGATCCCGGCGGGGGGGGCGGCTCCGGGTCCTCCTCTGGGTCCCGTCCTGGGGCAGGTAGGGATGGTAGAGAACGCGATGCCATTTCCTGTTCGCTTAGGCCCGCTTCCGGTTCCCTTAGGCCTATTTCCGGTCTCCCCCAAACCCTTTTCNCGCGTCCCCCCACGCCCGTTTACGTTGCACCGCAAAGCCCCCCCCCCCCCCAATGACCGGTGTCGTCCCGCATCCCGGCAGCGCGGCGTCCCGATCTCGGCGTTCTGCCAGGACTTCAACGCCCGCACGCAGGCGGTGCGGCCCGGCGTCCCGCTCAGGGTTCGCCTGACGGTCAGGGTGAGTTCATTAACAGAAACTAATTAACCC